TCTACTTCTTCGTCTAGTTACCTCGGTCTTCGCCAATAAAATAAGTTGTGCAGTTAAACATCTTTAATTTGTTTCGGCTCGATGTCCTATTCACCGCAGGCGTCTAATTTTTATTACAGTATTTTTAAATTTATAAAATAGTTAATTTATTAGTTTAGAATGAAATTTGGAAACATCCATAGTTCATTGTAAATTGAAAAAACGCACTCTGTTTGTACATATTTTAGTAACAATAAAATAATCTGTCAACACAATATCTCAGGAAAGTAAATAAATTATATCAGCCACACATCAGTGTATTCACACAAGTTTTTGTCATACTCGTCACAGACGAAGAAAAATAATTAACCTAACTCAAAACACTACCTTTTAAAATGGAAATGGAAGCAGAACCTCCTTACACAAAATTTACTGCGAACCAACGATGATGGAAAGATCCATCAGTTGCCGTAAACAATAACCAATCAAATCTAAACAGAATTCAGCAATAGTTAAATATATGTCACATCAAATCTAACAAAACTAAATCTCTTCACGTAACCTTTACGCTGCATAGTAAAGTAAACATGTCTTCCTGTGTGTATTGACAATTGTCAAATTTCTCAGTCACATTTAGAACGCCGTCTAATTTGGAAAACACTTGTATTCACCAAACGCAAATAGCTTGTTTTAAATTATTGGACATCCTTAAGTCCTCTTGGACTTAAAGGATCCAGTTATTGGGCACCACCAGTGTCTCCAATATAAACATTTTACAGAGATTCCAAAGTAATGAGCAGCGCGTCAAAGCCAGTGCGAAATATTATGTCCCCAACGAGGTAATTCAGCAAGATATCAATAACAATATTTAAGTACAACATGTTGTCATTCGAGTGCTTGTGTCCGGGTAGACTCAAACGATTACTTTCGTCCGCCTTTAGGTCTCAATCAAGTTTTTCCTCTAATATACTAAATAATGAGAATTTCAAATTTTAATTTAACGTGCTTTTTGACAAAGAAAACAAATTTTAGCAAGCAAGTATTCCTTTCTACGGAAGTGATACAAGCTTGCAAACGACGAGGCCTGCTTCTGATTAGATTTTAAAACACATTCTGTGGAAGATTGTTTCATTCCGGCACCAATATGTCGCGATGCTTGCTCGAATTTCGTTGGTATTGATAATGCGAGCAAGCCAAACAAATCGTGTGATTTAAACCTCGTCAAGATAATCAGTAAAATCAGTAATTATAGGAGGAGTGTGGGGTCGTGCATTATCATACATAAATTTTGCGTCGTCTTCAAAAATAATCATAAACAGTAAAACATAATCTTCTATTACCTATGTCAAGTATCTATATGCAGTCAATGCCATTAATCTTGTCATTGACATGCGTCGCCATGTTATACCTGTATCTCCATTAAATGGAAGTCGCTCAGCAACATATGCTTAAGCATATCTCTGGACATGCCGCCACACTCTTACATGTTTTTCAGAATTCGTAAGACAGAATCTCAATTAATTCATCAATAAAAATATACTACTCCAATCCTGTATTATTCAAACCAAGTATTCTAATTCAAAATTCAATATAGCAATTCAGAGTTTAGGGGAAAGCGGCGGTACAGTTACTGTAGTTTACATTTCTCACTTCTTGCAGATGATTTCGAAGGGAACCTGCCATGACCGTTTGATTTGTCAAAGCACAAAAAACGACAAAGCGGTCATCTCTAGTTATTGTAATTCTGCCTCGACCTGAACCAGGTCTTCTGGTAAGCAGACCGGTCTCTTCGTACCGTCGCCACTCTTATACCAACGTTTCTCGCAGTTGCGTGCTGACCGTCTTCTTCTTCTTCATGTACCATGTCCTTTCAGAAGGTTGGTTACCATCATAGCTGTTTTAATTTAGTCACTGCCACCCTAAATAGCATGCTTGTATCTACACCATACCAATCTCGCAAGTTCTTCAACCATGAGGTTCTTCTTCGTCCTGGACTGCGTTTGCCTGCTATTTTTCCTTGCATGATATTTTGTAGCAATCTATATTTGGGACCTCTCATTACATGTCCGAAATATTCCAGCTTTCTCTGCTTGATGCTTTTTATGATCTCAGTAGTCTTGCTGAGACGTTCTAGTAATGTGGAGTTACGAATCTTCTCCACCCAGGAAACTTTTAAAATTCTTCTATAGCACCACATTTCGAAAGCCTCAAGGCGATTTAGATCGATTTATTCACAGTCCAGGACTCGACAGCATAAAGTAAGACCGAGAACACGTAGCAGCGAAGTAGGCGGATCCTTAATGCCAATTTTAGGTCTCTGTTACATAACACCTTGGACATCCTTCTAAAAGCAGCTCTAGCCTGCTCTATTCTGGATCTAATTTCGCCGTGATTTTCTGCATTACAATTTAATTGCTGTCCAAGGTAGACGATTTTATCAACTTGCTCAAGTTTGGTATTATTTACATATATAGACGGTTTTATATTCTGTTGTTTACTTATTACGAGTATTTTGGTTTTCCTTATGTTAAGATCCAGACCTGCCTCCCTACAACTCTCAACGACACTATCAAGTAGTGTTTGCAGATCTTCTTGACTAGAAGCTAGGAGTACTGTATCGTCCGCATATCGCAAATTATTGATGACTTCGCCGTTCACAAGTATTCCTTCTTGTTTTTCAGAAAGTGCTTTTCTGAAAATTCTTTCGGAGTAAACGTTAAAAAGCAGGGGTGACAAGAGGCATCCCTGCCGTACTCCTCTTTTAATATTGAGAGCTTGTGATTCCACACCATCTACTAAAACTGATGTTGTTTGATTCCAATATAAATTTGCAATTATTCGAACATCTCTGCCGTCCAAGCCAATGTCTTTTAGAGCTTCGATCAATATAGAGTGCTTAACACGATCAAATGCCTTTTAAAAGTCAATAAAACAACAGTATATGTCTACAGATATATCACGACATCTTTGAGCAAGTACGTTCATTCCAAACAGTGCCTCTCTCGTTCCAAATCCGTTACGGAAACCAAACTGAGTGTCATCCAGGTATTCCTCACATTTATTGTAGATACGACCATGTATTACCTTCAGAAAAATTTTCAATAAGTGGTTTAACAAACTGATGGTTCTATAATCAGCACAGGTTTTTGCTGTTGTCTTCTTAGGTAGAGCTATAAACAGTGAGTTAGACCAACCATTAGGTAGTTGTCCGCTGGTATAAATGGTATTGAAAAACGAAGTTATAGCCTCTAAAACATTGCTATCCTTTATAAGCTTATATATTTCAGTTGGAATTTCATCAGGACCAGTCGCTCTGCCATCTTTGATGATTGTATGCCTTTATAACCTCACAGCGTGTTATTAGGGGTCCGTCGCAGTTAGTAATATCGGGAGGTGAACTACTCCTATCGTCTTCGAATAGGTTCGTGACGTAATTTTCCCATTCTTTAAGTTTGTCCTCTACTTCGAATATTACTTTACCATTTTCATCCTGTAGCAATGCATTTTGTTTCTTATTGAAGATACCAGCCGCTTCTTTTACTTTTTTATACATGTTAAACGTGTCGTATCTTTTTTCGAGTTCTTCAATGTCATGACACTGTTTGGCTAGATGTTGACTCTTTGCTTCTCGTATTTTACGTCGAATTTCTTTTGTATGCTATTGTAAAGTGTTTCGTTGGTTTTTGCTAGTCGCCGTTGTTCCATCAAATCCAGTATATCATCTGTCATCCAAGCCTGCTTTTTTGGCTTTGACCTGCCTTGTAATTTCTCACATTTCTTTACTGTGTACGATTTTATTTAAGCCCTCATCGACGTTTTCACCAATATTTTCCCAAATTAAATTTTCGTTCAGTTGTCTTTGAACTGATTCCTTAACTTTCTCGTCTTGTAGTTGGCTGTATCAATCTTTTGCGAGACTTCTTTTTGATCACCTTTTTTAATTTTAATTGGGTTACAGCTACTATGGGATTGTGATCGGACCAATGTCAGCACCTGGATAAGTTTTAACTGATTTGATGCAGTTTCTAAATCGATTTTTTATTAGAATGAAGTCGATTTGATTCCTAATAATTTTGTCCTCTGATTCTGCATTTGACTTCCAGGTGTGAGTAATTTGGTATTCGATATAAATGAAATCGTGTTCTTGACAGAACTGGACAAGTCGATCTCCACGTTCGTTTCTGTTTCCCAAGCCATATTCCCCCACAATGTTCAAACAGCGTCTTTGCCGACTTTAGCGTAAATCTCCGAGGACTATGGTATTTTCTGCTGCTTTGACAAGATCTAGAGCATCAGTAAGATCTTTGTAGAGTGCTTCTAATTTATCTTCATCACTAGATGATGTTGGGGCATAGACCTGAATTACGTTGGTAATGAACGGCTTTGAACTAAATTTTACTAGCATTACTCTGTCAGATATGGGATATAAGTTAAAACTGATTGAGCTAAGTGTTTTGCTACTACGATTGCAATCCATTATAGTGATTGGCATCTGTATTTCCGGCATGGTACACTTGATATCCATCTACGTCACATACTCCTGATCCGGCCATCGCATTTCGCTTATTCCGAGGATGCTGATTTGCATTCTTTTCATTTCTTTTATGGCATCTTTGTACTGACCGTGGCAATCCGTATAACGGCACTACAACAAAACTTACGCCCATTGCAATATACTGACAGTAATAACATTACAAAAACAATTCACAGTTAATTTTAATATCACAGAAACAAAAACTATGCTACGGTTATAGTTTTTAGAATAAATTAGGTTAAGGGGCATTGTTATCTAAAACGCTAATCGAAATAGCAACAACAATTTTGTTTCAAGCAATCCATTAGTAAACTATAATTTTACAACCGAAAATATTTAAAAAGAATTCAAAGCAGAAATTCAAATGTATACGTTATATTGGAACTATAAAGAGACATATAGTCGAAATCTAAGACTAATAAACACAAAATATATTCATAGCTAGTCAATTATTATTATTAATGTTTACTCACAAGTAAATACACACCTTCCGTTAATTTTTCTTCTTCTTCGGTTTTTCTTAGTTCATCACAAATACAAGAGTCGTTCACTAAAATTTAAAACGTTTATAAACATTTAATAATATTGGACTTAACTATATTAATAATATTATTTCATATTTTTAATTGTTGGTTTGCGTTTGTCTAAATTTAATATTTATTTTTTAGCTTTTTATACATTAATAAATTAAATCCAGAGATAATTCTCCACACTATGAGTGTTTATCAGCTTTCATCAGCTTTTATCAGCTTTCAAAAACTGTTTCAATATTCTTTATAAATTACTCATTAAACTATTAACCATCAGACAAAATTTTCTTGGTATATTGCATCTACGGTGCAATAACGTCACTTACGCAATTTTTGTCAAAACTGAACTGAGTATGAGAAAATGCTCCTAATCCACCCCTTTACTTGCTGCAATATTGTCATTTGTATAGTACGCATACACTCCGCATAAGGGCACTACTGTCGTTACGGTTAATGCGCGAATCTGGATGGCACTGGGAAAAACAACGTTACATTGGTCAGTTGCGGACGCCACGCCGCACGAGAAACAGTCTCCTGGAGTTACAACGTTACTAAGGTAATTGTGACAAATAATTTTTATGTTTTTGGAACAATAATGACACTTGTGTAGTTTCTTGAAGCTACAATGTTACTTTTTAACAATGGTAATTGTAACAATTTATTTTTTTTTTTGACAATAACAACACCTGTGAGTGAAGAAGTGATGTTGTTTTCCCAATTTTTGTATCCTAATGGTTTAAAGTTAAAGGTCAGACTAACACTTCTGAAACATTATTATGACATTCTTAGCTCATTCTTGCACTGCGCGTGGCCTTACTTTTAGGGGATGACCTTAAAATATATTATATTTTCGGGCCACCTGATATTTTACCTACGAGGTTAAGAATAAATTTTATTATGAATTGGTGGACTTGGTAGAGAGTATTGGAACTAGGAAGGAAGTTATTCTTTAATAACTGTATATGCAAGGAAAACTCCACACCCAATATTAATAACGTTACAATTCATCGAGGAGCTGAGTGTGAAATCTAATAACCAATCAAACAATAACTTTAAAGCTTTAGTACTATTTACATTTAAATGAAGCCAACGATAAAATGAATATAAAAGTTCAATGATACTGGACGACATTTTCAACAAAGTAGATATAATCTACTAATATCTTAAAAATGTGTCTTCCCAGTTTCTGTATCGAATGAGGTTAAATTTAAAATTAAACTATGTTTGCAATCCCTTAACAATTAACACGTACAACGAAATCATGAAAGCTCTTAACAAAATTTGCAATGGAAGATATTAGAGAAGTGGATAATATAAAGATTAGAAAAAAATTGTGAAATAAAGAAATCAAATATTTTGTGGCAAAGAAAAATAATGTTTATAATAAATGTCTAGCAAAAAAGATACCTTTAACAAATTAGCAAAACGTATAACAATTTAAACAAAGGGATAAAACAAGTACAAAATCCAAAAATAAGTATGTGAATAAAGCCTGCGACAACATAAAAAATTTTTATGGATACCACAAGAAGTAAAGAAATCTGGAACACTATTAAAGGTAGTAGAACAGGTAGAAAAAAAAACGCAATAGATTAACTCGAATATCTCCGGAATTATGGGTCAAAGATTATGAACAAATTCTGAAAGAAGATCTAGCAGAATTTCAAGATACTGGCTACAAATAATGTATTGCCTACCGCGAAGAAACAGCAAAAGAAAATAACACGCCAACCTTATAAAAATGGGAAGGGTTTAGGAGCGGGCGGATTAAATATGGTCCTGATAAACTATCAGCTCTTGGCTTATATGTTTAATTTATTCTTGAGAGGTAAAAAGCTATTACCGAATGAAAATCTGCATATAACAGCAAACAACACAAAAAAATTGGCAATAGAAAGGATTGTAAGAGTTACTCAGGGGTTTATGTCACTAACTTTTGTACAGAACTCTATAGAATTTACGGAAAGATAGATAAAAGCCGAATTGAAGATTGTTGGAAAGACGCTGAAGATTAGAGTCGCTTTCGTACTGGTCAATTTTGTATAGACAATATGTTCTGTTAAAAACAAAGAGTAGAGAAGCGCTTGGAACACAATATCGAGAGACACATGGTATTTATTGATCTTCAAGAGCCCTATGATATTATCCCATTAGCCAAGCTGAAGCAGGTGTTAGAAGACAAGAAAATTCCACCGATTTACATTAAAGTTTTACGACGGTATGACAAGATCAATAAAGTATGCAAAAAAGTAACAAAAAAAATATTGTAGATATTGATATATCTACATGCATTATACCTACGATCTTTAAGGTCTATGTAGAGGGGTTTATAAATATTTGTTAAAGAAAATGTGAACCAATGGGTATCTAAATTAGAGTTTATAAAGCGGATGATCTACTAATACTTACAGAAGAACAAGATGATATGCACTACATGCTGCAAAAAATAGATGAAGAATATAAAGTGATTTTTATCAATTAATTTATCAATAAAAGAGTATGTAGTAGTGCAAGGTGAAGCAGGCACTTAGAACTAAGAAGTATACTAATTGAAAATAATGACAGCTATAAATACCTTTGTGTTTGCATTACAAACGATAGTTGGAACACAAAAGAAAGAGCGACTAGAATTGGTCAAGGTAATACGTCAACTGCATAGATACTCTAAAACTAACCAGATCACTTAAAAAGACAAAAATGAGGATTTATAAAAGGATCAAGTATTGCTACATAGGATTTAGACCTTGGCAAATAGATAAAAAACACATTCAAAGTAAAAGCAATGGCTTATGGAGCAATTAATTATTGCGTAGATGTTGCTCAAGTGACCAAGAAAATCGTGTAGTCTACAGGCAGGTGACGATGACGGCAATTAATAAACTCGGTATATGAAATACCGTGGCTAGGATATGAAAAAAGCTACATGGCCATAGTTTTTAGCAGGTGGTTTAAAACAACGTATCACACAGCATAAAATTGATTGCCGCTAGAAAAAAATAATTGTGCAGTAGTCGAGCACTATGAAAACAACGTCACCTGTTAGACTACAACAATGCACGTATTTTGGCACATACTGAAAATTACAAAAGTAGGTTATTTTTGGAGATGTAACCACATCAACAAAATTAAACAATCTTTAAATTATAAAACAGACACGGGGCAATTAAGCAACATATATTGCAATATATTGAACAAAATTTAAAAACTACACTCACCTTAAAATTTTATATGTTGGGCTTTATTATTGCTTAAGTACTAAACTGAAACCCATATATAGTTGTATTTTATCAATTGTCACGCATGCATGTCGGGCGTACCTAGGTATAAATTTTTTGCCATTTGCTTGACTGACCACGCATGCTTGTCAATATAATTTTTACTACTTTAAAAGTTTATTGAAGACAATTTTAAGAAACTAAGTAAAACAATTAAAACAAACCAAAAAGGTAATAAAAACTTAAACACGAGGTGAACAATAAAAAAAACTTCAAATTCATAACATACATAACTACGTAATTTTTTTATATGTATAACACAAAATGTTGCACTATTGATGAAAATCATTAAAAAAATTCGACGCATAATCCGGCTCTTCTGTACATTGTTGGCAGTGGTAAAGCGTCATTTTACGGATTTTCTTGCCAGAGCACACTCTACATCGCTTTTTTTACTGTTTTTCCTTGTTTGTCCTTGGCCAAAATTTTGGTAATGATGTGGACTGTTTTAATTGTCGGCCCCAGCTTGTTATTCATCCCAATGTTTAATAGTTTTTTTAAAACTGGCAGTCGGTAGTCATAAAGGCACATCGGACGTAAAACAAATTGTTTATGTAGCAAGTACGAATTCATTAGCATCAAGTCTATGTATATGTATGCCCAACTTATTGTACCATCTTAATGATTTTCTTTTACAGGGGTAGTAAGAGTTTAGTTGGTCTTGCCGATCGACACCCCCCATATGCTTATTATAATTAAAAATTGCAGTAGGTTTTTCTCTGGGTCTATTCCTTCTATCAACAAATTCCGTCATTTCATTTCAAATTCATTAGAGATATAAAGAACATCACGTTTGTCCTTTCATTTACCAACTAAATATATCAGAAAAACAAGCAATCCGCTTACCTTTTTTTAGTTTTTTTTTCTATAACATCTTTGGTATTATGCTTCTTTTCACATTTAGTGTTTCAAGTGCAGTAATTACTTCGATTTGTTAATATTTTAGCTAGTTTCATAGACATTATAAAAATTGTCCATGTATACACTATGTCCTTGTCCAAATAATCCTGAACTAGCTGTAAAACTACTTTTGTATATTTGGGCCTTTTTTCCCACCGCAATTCAATCCAGGGGCTCCAGTGTAGACTAAAGATTTTAAACAAAATCCACAAGGAAAAAATTCCTGTAGCCACTGTGCTGTTATACACAACCGTATAAAAGCAAAAAGAGGATTTTAAAATCCTTTTGTTTTAAGTGGGTAAAAAATATTATATTTAAAAAAGACCCTTAAAAGGGCCCACATCCAATAGAACAATACGTGTTTTTTATCGGACTAATACAGTCCCATCATCAGGTTATTTAAATATCGAAAATTTTCCCCATTCAGGTATGATTCAAATCCGTTTTTCCCACCCTACAATTTTGTGGGTGGGCCCCCACCGGCATTAAATATGCAAGAACTCCTAGCAAGTATTTTCCGGATTTTAATAAACCTGATGATTGGACTGTTTTTAGTCCGAAAAACGTTTTGTTCTATTGATGTGGCCCTTTTAAGATTTTTTAAATAAAGTATACCCACTTTACAAAGATGAACCTCTTTTTTTTTTTTTTTTTTTTTTGTTTTTTTTTTTTTTTTTTTTTTTTTTTTTTTTAAAGATTTATTAAAACTAAACACCACTTGAGCCATTATTGTAAGTAATTTAATAAAGAGTTTTTTTTTTGTCCCCGTAATTTATGTAACGCTCCTCCCCAGTTATTTTTTGATATATTGTCCACGGAATGCCAAACGCGTCCCCCACGCCATTTCAAAAAGCAACCATTTGACCTTAATCAAAAAATGTTTTTTTTTTTTTTGGTTTTTTACACAGGATAATAAACAGCAAGACCCAATTTTAAGTTTGTTGAAATTGTGTAAGTTTTTAGTTTTTTATGTAGGTTATAGGTTTTCTCGGTGAATTGTGTGGTACAATCTGATCCATTGGGGGTAACGTTCTTTTCTTCTACTGGCCCGTTTGGTGTTCTAGGCAAAAATGTAAGCATGTTAATTGATTGGGTCCATTGCCCCACAATAGTGGTAGAACCAAAAAGTTTTATATCATTTTGTTTTATTTCGAACAACGAGAAAATCTTTTCCATATTCAAAATAGGAATATTTTTGGTCCCCAGGTTCAAGGAACTGAGTGTTTTCAAACACAGTTTTTTGTTTTTTTTTCGGACCTGGGAACGATCAATTCCTTGAAATTTAAATCACAGCATTTTCCATTATTACTGTAAATAAATAAAAAATTAATAAACTATTCAATTAATAGTAATATAATAGGTTATAATATAGTAATTTAAAACTTACTCATTCCTTATAATCATTGGTTCTAAAAACTCCGCTCGGATTTCAGAAAAGAAATGCCCTTAGAAAATTCAGAATCAGTTTTAATGTTACTTGGCCAAATGAGAAATGAAGGTAATTACTAGAATAAGTCCCCTCCTTGTCCAAGTAAGATTCCCATAATACCAAAAGGCATAATATCTCCAACCTTCATTTTAGTTTTTAATGAGGATGTTTTTTTTTATCCTGTACTTTACTTTTTTTTACATTTTAAAGGTCCCGGTATAGAGTCCGCCATTTTAATAAGACAAAAGGATCTATACGCGAACGTAACAAAATAAATAAGCCGACAATCAAACTTCCACTGCAACAATATAATCACACTGCTCGAATCCTTTGAACGCGTGTCTGACTTGACCGGGCTAATTTGTATCCCCTACTCGCATGTCCGAATGCCGAATGCCGCAAATGCCTCATTGGGAAATTCTGAAATCAGGCAAACATTATTTTTTAAATACTTTGTGCTCTTAGACACACATAACAAGATGTGAACTATCTGCTGGCATACGCTGTAATTTAAAATACTCTGTTTAAATTTAACTGGTCAGCATGTCACGTCAGCACCTGGCAAAATAACTTAAAGTCACGCATGCGTGACATAAGCAGTGAAAGTGTTAATGATTAATTAAAGAAATAATATTCCCTCTAATGTTTCTCTACATTGTTATTTTTTGCATTTTTGAAATAACTTTACTTGTTCTATCTTATTTATTGTTAACGAACGTGCTCAAGAGTATTTAAATTTTAACATGCATTTATTGATTTACATATAATCAGCAATAATGTTATTTTAATGTCAATTTTAATTTTATGTGTTGAAATCTTTTAATTTTAGTGAGTATTGAAGTCCTAAGTGCACGTCAGTTTTTTTAATTGTTTGTTTTTTTACAGATTTTACTATAAAATAAATGGCGAAATATTGAGCTTTAGAATTAAACAAAGATTTTTTTTTAGTCATTATATTGTTTGTTGGAAAAGACATGCTAATCCAATATTAGTTGTTCAGCAGTGACATTTATATTAAAATACTGGTTGTTTTGTTCCATAATTTTCCGAACTGGGGTATTATGTTTTGATACTTTTTTATTGTTTTTGGGTCGCAAAGTTTAAAATTTAAGAATATGTATATTTTACTAAGTTTTGTACCTAATATTTTACTACAATTTTAATTAAATTTTTAAATCTGTATAAGTGTAATTTCAAATTATAACCAATACAATAAGTTGTCTTTTACGTACTGTAATATATTAATATTGTTCTTATATCATTATTATAATGACCAATAACGTAAAACTTACTAACAAACAATAATTAAATATATAATTTGTACAATGAATTAAGATCAAACTAACCAGCTTCAAATGTTTCCCTTTTTGTCACTTCGCGCTTCCCAACTTTCTTATTTTCATTTTTCCCCGTTGACTTTGTAAGTTTTCTTTATTAGCATAGACTGCTTGATCGACATATATAGCTTTAGATTCTGTTGTATTATGCTAAAGGCGGTTCGCTTGCAATTGGAGCTGCAGTTTCAGAAAACTGTTTCAGTATCTTGTAAAATCCCGAAACCACTAAGTTTCCAATTTCTGTATGTTCATCCGGAATTTGTTCTTCATCCTGTTTAAAATAATTGTTTTTTGTCATAATAGTTTTATTTTAGACTCAAGTAATTTACGTACGCTTATTATATTCTTTATATTAGTTTATTATATTGGATATTTGAGGGATTAATTGTTTTTGAAAGGTTTACTATTTCTGGAAACGATCTCGGGAGAAGATCCAGAGGACGATCACCAACTAAATGGTCCGACTAAAATTAAAACTCATTGTGCGAAGCTCTCAGAGCAGCTGAAGACAGAGACCAATGGAGAAAAAATTGTTAGGAATATTGGAGAAAATTATGATACTCAGTAATGGGGAAACAAAAATGAGAGAACGAGAGGAGAGAACAGATTATATTGTTTATTCTTATTTTCAATAAAATATTATCGAATGCTTTTGGACTCATTAAGACAGTATTATAGTAACATATATCACAAACTGGACATAGACGTTAATGATACACAATTTGGTTTTCGTAAAGGCCTAGGAACGCGGTGAAACATCTTTTGTACACTTAATAATAATAGATACAAAAATCGCCTGGACGTCAATCCAAGATATATACGCATGTTTTATTGACTGTAATAAAGCATTCGATAAAGTACGACATTAACAATTAATCAAATGTCCTCGAAATTAACGAAGATTGACTACAACGACCTCAGGATCATATCAAATTTATACTATAAACAGCGAGCAAAAGTAAGTGTATAAATGAAAAAAGCTTGTCAGAAATAATTGAAATTAGGTTGTGGAGTGAGATGGGACTGGATTAGGGCTATGGGAAGTAAAAATTCCTGTAGGCTTAATTCCAGATAACTCACAGGCGTCACTCAACATTATGAGTTAAGGAGCTTTGATACTGCGACAGCAGCAAGCGCCCTGACCCTAGAGTGGGTGGCTGCAAACAGCGTCTGTTCCCAGAGTGGGCAGCTGAAACTAAAACCTTGCCAACACGCAGTGGCTCGCGTGGCATTAACTTAGCCAAAAACCCTTACAAATGTCAGATTTTAAAACAAAAACGGAAACTAACCCCAGGTGAGTAGACACTCTCACATTGATTTATAGTCTGTCCCAAGGATTCTGGGGGGACACAAATTTGAACAAGAGTATGCTTTTAAAAAACAAACAGTTTTCAAAATTGCAACCATGAATACTAGAACTCTACTTTCTGATGAAAGCTTTAAAGAAATGTAAAAATAATTAGAAAAGATCAATGACATCGTCCGGAGTTAGTGAAGTGAGAAGGAGAAGTGAAGGCCTCGAGACCCTAAAATCCGGTCACTTATTTTACTATCACGGAGAACAAATGAGTCAGTAGTGAGCGCCGGATTCTTCATAAACAAGCAGCTAGCAGAAATCTAAAAACTGTCCAATCAGTATCCACCTAGATGTTACATTATGCACATTCAAAATAAATACTAGATATAATCTAAAAGTTATCCAAGTCTATGCTCCCAACAACGGAATATACAGACGAGGAGATCGAAGTCTTTTATAACTATTTAAGCACAGCCATCATAAACAACCGTACAAAATTTACAGTTATATGTGGAGACTTTAACGCCAAAATAGGAAACAAAACTGGATCCAGCAGAAGCTGCTCTTCGAAATTTTGGAAGTCAAGGGTCGGAACGACCGTGGCGACACACTCTCTTAAAACTTCCCTACTAGAGAAAAAACCTATTCCCTAATGGACAGTTACTATTACAAGAAACCTCCACCGCAGATGGACGTGGATAAAGCCCAGATGGGAAGACGGTAAACGAGATCGATTACTTTTATCACTAGATAAAAGACATAATTTACAGATGTGACAGTGGCTAAAATAAGTTTGCGAAATCAAGCGACCATCGTATGATGAGAGCCATCATTGTGTTTAAATACCAACTATGAACGACACAATATGATAAAAAAAGAAGCAAATAAACATTATGGACAACATCCAAACAACTAACAAAATTTTAAAGACCATATCGGTAAATTCCCTTTAAGGAAAATTATCAACAAATGATATTAACATCCTAAATGACATAATAGTAGGAGCAATAACAGAAGCTCAAAAGAAATGCTACTTAAAAAGCGTGAAGGAAGAAAAAAATTAGTCTGGAAACACAGAAAAAAAATGGAACAAAGAAGAATACTGAGAAGCGACCGAAAACTTTAGTAACGACGATATAAATAGAATGAACAGGAAGGTATACAGAGAAATCAGGAAAAGAACTAAGAACATACAAAGATGAGAAAAATCGTCAAAAGCATTGAGGCAAATAAGAGTATGAAAATGAATGAGAACGCAAACTCACAATAGAAATAAACAAATAGTCAAAACTCAAGGATAGAAATGGCAACATCACATCAAACAGAGAGAAATTTAATACAAAACTGTGAAAATATTCTATGAGACTATGAGAAATATCTAGATATACTTGAATATCAGCAGAGGAAGGTTTCAAAATCAGGGTTCACGGAAGGTTATCCCAGAAATCTTCTTGGGACGAAAATTTACAGGGCTCTAAAAAAAAGGAGAAATAACAAAGCTCCGGGGGAGGACGGTTGTCGTACACAAGAAACGATAAAGATAGGAGGCTCAGTACTGATAGCCAAAAATTCAAAAGCTCTTTAATCTATGCCTATGAAATCAAAATATCCCAACAAAGTGGAAATAATTCAATAACTTAACTCTTACACAAAAAGGGAGATAAAGCAGAGCCTGGAAAGATACAGACCAATCAGTCCTCCTTAATCATCTATATAAATATAATACTCCTCGAATAATAACCGTACAGACTAGAGAACAAAGCTGAATTTTTACCAACCTCGGGAAACAAGCTGGTTTCCGCCCTAATTATGGCACAAACGATCACCTGCAGTGCCTAAAAACCCTGATAAGAAAAAAAACTAACAAATATAACCGTCCCTTGGGCATTGATATTTGTAGACCGTTAAAACGCGGCGTATTGATACAGTGGAACTACCTTCCATCTTAAGAGCACTACAAGATTGCAGGGTCGACCACAGATATTGGTAATATAGTTTAAATCGTAATATAGTATTGTAATATAGTTTATCGATGGAGAAAGATTAAACCATACACGTTTTGCAGACGATATCGTTGCTTCTGTCAGATAATCTGGAGAGATCAAAGACATGCTCCAAGAACTGAATGACATACTATAAAGAAACTGGTGCTGGAGATAAATTTTCGAGAAAACCAACAATGATAATCCAATATGGTTCCCCATGCGAAGAGATACAGATCTAATAACAACAAGGTAGAATGAATCGATAAATACAGATACTTGGGTCATGAAAATTAGAATAACCAGAGACAACCAAACCTGCAAGCTAAATAGATGAATCCAGTTGGGATGGGCGCATATGGAAGGATGAGAGACATTTTTTAAAACAAATTATCCCAATCTCACCTGAAAAGGAAAGGCATTTAATCAATGAATCTTATCAGTCTTGACCTACGGAGAAGAGACCCCCAACTTTAACGAAAGCTACTGCCGAAAAAACTGAGGGTAACACAAAGGCGAATGGAGAGATCAATGCGGGCCTTACCTTAAAAGATCTCGTGAGAAAATGAGGAGAATACGCCGGCGAACTGGCGTAGACGATATTATACTGCGAATCAATAAACAAAAGTGGAGGTGGGCTGGACATGTATGCTAGAATGGATCACGAAGATGGACGAAGAGATTATTAGAGTGGAGACCCAAGAGCCGACAAGCGACTTTCGAGGCAGACCACCCACCCGATGGACCGACGACCTAAAGGAGAAATATAAACAAGCTGAATTGCAGCAGCTAGAGAAACGAGGGAACTGGAGACGTTTTTGGAGAAGGCCTATATCCAACAAATAGATGTGAAAATGAGGCTGGATGATGATGATGATGATGAATGTCGATTGAGACAGGGATAAGTATTGTCGCCAGTTTTTCTTTTATGACTACTCCGAAGAGATCCTGAAAAAACGCTCTTTGAAGGTGAAAACAGCAAGAATAAAGGTAAATGTAGTTCCCATTAACCACATTAGATATGCGGACGACAACTGTGATCTTTGCAGAGAGATATTGAAAAATCTTCAGAGACTGGTGACGAAGATGTAGCAGAGAATGAAACAGAATATGCGCTCTAACAATGAACAAAGAAGGACGAAATTTTACGAGAATATCGAAAACTAAAAAGAAATAACGAAAGTCTTTCTAATAAACGAAAACCAACCGTCGAACAAGTGGAATACATAAATGCATATTCTGGGAACAATGATTAACTGCACCAAATGATTACAATCAGGAGATCAAAATAAGAAATAGAAAAGGCTAGAGCAACTTTCCAAACAAAATGAGAAAGATGTGCTATGTACCAGGGATTTAAAAACTGGCACACTAAGAGTTAGGTTGGCGGGGTCGCTATATTTTTTCGACTTTACTGTATGGAATGAAAATCTTGGACCTTGAATGCAAACATCAATGAAAAGCTTGAAAATCATTCAAGCTGTGGGTGTACAGAAGAATATTAAAAATATCGTGGACAGAACACATCACAAACTAAGAAGTTCTTGGAAGAATTAATAAAGAAATGGGAAATTTTAAACACAGCAAAAACAAGAAAAAATTAAAATTATCTCGGAACATATTAACACGTGGAGAGAATACACCCTGCTTCCAATTAAATTTATGCAGGGAAATATACACGGAAAGAGAAGCAGATAAGGAGGCGTAGAATGTCATGGCTGCGCAACCTGAGAGAATGGTATCGGATGTTCTTCAAATGAAATTTTTCAGAGCAGCCCTCTCAAAAGTCCGAATAGCTATGATGATTGCCGACCACCGCCGCCGCGTGAGATGGAGCTTGAAGAAGAAAATAGTAATAAAATGAAGTATTTTAGATACTACTTTCCACTTCAGGCTAAGCGAGATAATTATATTAATCTATAACAAAGTGAAGTTCGTGTATATCGCCCGCTTTGCTACGATGATTGCCGACCTCTTTAGCGAAGATGGTACTTAAAGGAGAAAAAGACCAGAAATATTCTTTTAAATACTCGTAAATTTAAATAAACTATAAGCAGTTTAAAGGTAAATATATCTTTACAATTCTATAAAACAAGTATTAAATATTTTTTTTAAAATATCTTTAAATATTTGAATGAAACACTCAGAAATTCTTATCTAGATTGAGTACCTTATATTTTAAATTAATCATTTAAGAGAAATAAAAGTATTACTAGAATTATTAAGAAACACACGTTTTTTAAAGTAAAGAAAAAAATTAGTATATTTAAAGAAAATTGGAACAGATCATGCTGGACTAATCTTTTGGAATACTGAATAATATTAAGATAAAAAAGATCATGAAAATTGTACAGAAAAACAGTCACGAACAAAATGAAGTGCTCGCAAGATGAGAAAAATTTTTGTAGGAAAATCCACTGTGCAAGTATAAAGACCAAAAGATGAGAGTATGTAGAATTCTATGATCACATGTAAAGTAGAACACAAAAATTATAATATCTATACGACCTTCTTCTTCTTTAGGTACCGTCTCCTCTAAGGAGGTTGGTAATGATCACAGCTATTTTCACTTTTGAGATTGCAGCTCTGAACAAGTCGATGAAACTAAAATTATACCACTATCTCAGATTATTGAGCGACCTATATAGAAAATATTGGACTAACATGTTATATGGAAAGAAAGAATATTTATAGTTTGCTAAAATTTAAATTACTTACTACTTCTCTGGGCTGAAAACTTGGTTCGGATTTCTCTGTCTCATTTAGAAGTTTTGAAAGTAATGGAATCGGGCATTTACATTTTGATGACTGTTTCGGAATACATATCGCACATTTTTCATGACAATATTCACTTATTTTTTTATCCCTTTCGTCAGTAAAATCTAAATAAAATATTAATGCTTATGTTGAAAATTTGAATTAAAAAATTTACAAGATTAATAGTTAAATACTTTTAAGTGAACACAAAATGAAATGGCACCAATCAAAAAAAGTTCTCTCCCGTTTGATTCTAATTGACTAAAAATATAAGAGGAGAGTAGAAAAATGAGGTTGCTGCGCCCTAGTAGCAGAATGTCAGTATACCACAATCATAAGTATACCAGAATGTATATAGTGCAAAAGATACTCTTACAATCTTACAATACTCTTAAGCATTAATTTTTTAGCAATTGATTTTTATGGTCGAGTACCTGAAACAACACGTCAAAACCAACCAAAATATTAATTACTTCAGACAGTTCAGCGATACTAAGAAATCTAAAGTCTACACCCTGTAATCGATAACAGCTTGAAGCAAACTGCAACCCTTAAACAACTGGTAAGGAGCAAAGTAAATTTACTGTATGTGTCAGGGCATAAGGGAACTGTTTTGTAATAAGAAGAAAAGCTGATATTCTTACTAAAGATGGAGCATGATACTTCTTTTTACCAGGCCAGAGCCATTCTGCTGTATACCAAAAACTTGTATGTGGTTTCCAACCTATTAAATGCGTATACAACATTTAAACTGATGTATACAGATAAATGATATCGTTACTTATAAACTTTTAAGAGTTAATATAAACTTTAGGAATATCACTATTATAGTATTTTATATGTACATACCAATAGATGTACACTTTTTACACTTTGGAATTTTATTTGGATTGTAAGATTTACAGTCTTTATGGCAAATTCTGTCTTCGTACGGCTTATCATTGAAAGCACCCATTAATTTGGTGGAAGCTTGGATAAATCTTACCATGCTATCCATCATACATTTCCCATGCTTGTAGTTCGTTTATTTCACAAGGAGTGCAAGATGTTTCAGCCATACGGATAATTTTTAAAATGTTTAGTACAAAAAATTTTGATTTTATGTAAACATTTCATATTTTGAAATCAATATATGTCATATAATTAGTACTTCATATTTATGTCAAATTTAAACAAATATTTTTTCTAATATCAGTGGATAATTCAATGTCACTTCTAAAATACCTGTTTTTATGATCCCCTTCTTAACTAATGTGACACTTCCGTTACATTTTTACACACGCTTATTCGCTCCGTGCGTAAACCGTGATAGAGGTACCTTAATACGAAATTATCACAAAATTTGACCCATCTTTTTATACATAAATTTTATTAAAAATGGGTGCAAGTACATGTTGCATATTTAATTGTAATAATAATAGCAAAAATAGTGAGTTTTTATAGGTTTCCAAAGATTACATATAAATTAGAGAAAAGAAAAAGATGGATTCGTTATTTTAATATTAATAGTAAATATCACATAATTTCATTTTTATGCAATTGAAAATAAAAATTTAAATAATTTACCTTAAATGATATTTAATGAATATTATTAAATGATATACAATCACATAAAACACTTTATTTGTCAGTACTAGAATTTTTCCCCCTGTCTTTCCCCTTTGAGGTTAAAAAGATAAATAATAATGAATTTTTAGACACTCAGTTTTTAACACATTTATTTTGTGTTTAAACTGAAAACATAATTGAAAAACTATTATTATTAATTGTCAATTTTGTATGTATATTTAAAATATGTTTAACCTCAATTGGGAGGTCCAAAACTGTCTTTTTCTTCTTCTTCCTTTATTGGGTAATATGCCAGGGGAATAATTTATATTTAATAACCATGTTGAAACTTCTTCTTGGGCCAAACAGTTAGTATAGGAAAAGACAATTCAACAAGAGATAAAACTTATCTCGCTTGGGCTTTTTCTTCTCTATTAGGTGCTTTTTAGTTATTTATATATAAAATAACTGTTGAGGTCCTCACAGTTCCATGGCAAACTCTTCTGTAGCTATCTACTTAATTCAATAGCTACTTTACTGCGAACTGTCTAAGTTCCTTATTTTTTCTCTTTTTTTTTAATTTTTAGCAACCAAGCTGAACACATACCAAAAATGCTACCAACGGATGATAGTCAGAGAACCCAGGTGTAAAAAAAGAGAATAATTTGTAAGGTTATGTTATAGTAGAATATAAGCAAACAATTATAGACGTAAGCTATTCCTTTGAATATAAGATAGGAATATATATTATAGATTTATTTTGGCATAGATTAAGAGAAGTAATCAACATAATTTCGTCTTTAAGAATTAAGATTGGATACGAGAGAGCAAATCTCTATAGGAGTTTGTAGTTTTGTTCTAACCAATTCTTGATTAGAGGTCAAAGTTTGGAGAAACGTTTACTGGACACTTTAGGAAAATATGATTCATAGATCCAATTTGACCACATTTACAGTATGGGTTGTCCCGAATAATTATGTTAAACAAATGAACGGTAGTGGAACAATGTCATGTTCTTATTCTAATTACTGTGGTAATATGCCTTGCATATGAGCAGCGAGTTTTAGAAAGCACGGTGGCTGAGATTTGAATTCGATTTCGCAGGTAAGAAATCGTATGATTTCTCTTTTTGTTCTTAGAGGCGTAGTTACGTCTGTACATAGTTAATTTTCAATAACTATGGTATACCGACGGGAAAACGATTTTGTTTCGATACGGAGTAAGTGGCTATACCGTACTGAGGAGACCTAAAGAGGTTCGAAATACGTATATGCGGCTTGTCGCTGCTCTGTTATCAAAATCAAAATCTAATACCGTCATTTTGTATTATTTCTTTACTTCGTTTGGAGTAACAGAAATTGAATTCACTACGAATTTTGGCCATGGTGAACGCCATTTGGAAATGCAATCTTAGATTCCCTTGTCGATTTATTTACCAAGCTGTTTGCTTTGTAAGTTTTAGAAAGCACGGTGGCTGAGATTTGAATTCGATTTCGCCAGGTAGAAATCGTATGATTTCTAATCATACGATTTCTACCTATCATACGATACAAATTTGATGGTATAAACAAAAGCGAAGGGATATACTTCAAAAAAGGTTAATACAGTAGAACAATATTTCGTCAACCATATATAGATAAAACACCAGGTACCACAGAACAATACATGAAAACTGCATAGTACGTACAACAAATCTAAACAAGAAAATATAACTAATGTATTTACAAATAAATACCGAATATAAAAGTACCAACCTTAATTACCATTTCCATCCGATTCCTAAAACCTATTGAAAATGTACAACCTTAAATAGTTACTAAATTACTTAGTTATATTATATATTATAGATATTATAGACGTAGAATAAAATTTATTTATCCACTGACAATTTATACGAATTAAATAAAAACTTTGTGACTAGCTATGACCACCCGACTAAGCCACAAAAAGAATTAAAACGTTAAGTCAAATGTAAGTAATCGAAATAAAAATAAGAAAATGGCCAACACCCCAGCGATAGTCTTTTGGTAATATCATGTATTGGGTTTTCAAAATTTGATATGGTAATTATATAAGTAATGTTTAAATTCTCAGATTGTAGATCTCAGATTCGAACATACTAATTGATCTAAAATCAGAGTATAAAGATTTTTGCACCACGATAATTAGAATTACTGGAGTTAATTGTATCACAGATAAGTAGCTAACAGGATAAAATAAAAAAAAATGGAAAATATACCCCTAAATTGTCGCCGAACGTTTTAAATTAATTTAACCCTTTAAAGGATCTACAATTTTAAATCTTCTATTTACCTATTGTTAAGTATGATTACTAAAATTAACTGTCTTTGTTTTCCTACTCTTACTATCTATAAGTACGGAGTAGCTAAGTTAGAATAGATGAATTTAACTTGTAAAGGGATCCAAGAGCAATACAATTAATTTCTGCCAATAATGATAGAGTAATCCTGAGATCTGTAATAATCCTGCAATAATAAACAATATATCATATCGTATATTATACAAAACAAAGATGTAGTCTAATGTAGTCTGCTTAATACATACCTCCAACCAAGCAATACAGAGAAGTCATATGAAATGGCTGATATTCAAAATAACCTAAATCAATAATATTACAAATATTATTTTTTAAATATCGAAAAACTATTAAAAAATATTTTTAAGGGTAACATAGTAGTATAATAAAATATAAGTGGATATTGCGGTCTTTAAAACACGTCAGATTTTACGCTATTTTTTTATTGGTACACTTTGAAATTATGTATTATTATTACAAAAAATTGGAATAGGAGCTAATAATGTAAAATATTTGAAATAATTGTGATCTATCCCTATTAAATATCTTTTAGTATCTTATATATTTTTGGCAGATATGCTTATCCGACTAGGGACTCGTGATCACTCTTGTTTTAACCGGATAGAAGTAAAGAATTATTTTTAAGAATAATAATTTTTTTTGAAAAGAAGACAAGTTGGAGAAAGTTTTGGTTTTTTTTTTGTGTATACTGTTGGGTTTATAGCCACTCTGAGCAGGTAAGTGGATGTTAATCATCAATAAAAAAGGAAATGTAAAAAACAAAATGTAGCCATTTTGATTTCTAAATTGTTCTAATTTCTTGTTTGATAGTTATGAAAATCTGTCATTTTTCATATCATTTCAATAAAAGAAATATTCTGTATCTAAATCTAGTAAATAATATAAAATCATATGTCAATTTTCTATTTTACTTCCAAGCCTTAAAAACATATAATCATCTATCTTTGTCCAGTTCCTAAAAATATTCTATCTTATACCGCACTTGTATATTCTAAAATATGTCCAGATTATGCTTTTCGTTAAAATTATCTATTTATTCAATCCTTAATCAGATAAAATATTGTCAAACCATTTGGCCACATTTTGCAAAACAATAAAGATTTTTTTGGCCTTCATACAAGGTTCCTTAGTAACTTTTTGTCTTGCCTTTCAAGATGAATAAACCTTGCCTTTTCCCTTTATTTTTGTTAAGAGTAAGAAGGAACGCTAACACAAATATTCTTTTTAGCCTACTGAAGGAGTTATTCAGGTGTCAAGGATTCGTTATTTGTTTTTATTATTTACTTAAAGAAAAAGGGTTAAGTTATTCCCTAGACGGAATATGCACCTGATCCCCATATATATTCTTGTCCACTCTTAGCTGTTCCTTCAGAGATCCAGATCTCTACCAGTCTATTCCCGGACAGCTTTGGGAAACCAGAAAGTTTTGTTATCTATCAATTTTAAATAATTTTTCAATAATAATTTATTTTTACTTTAAATCATACTATTCTTATTATTAATAAAGACCCGAGTTATAGTCGTTAGACCCCATAAGCCAATACCTTAAATCCGATGCGTCAGCACCTGAACTATGATCGACCTGAATGTAAAAGTGCAACTTATGAAATTATTGTTTTATTTTCCAATGTGTAATGTATTTTATTTTATGAATTATAATTCAGTCTGATTTGAATCTTTGTACTGTAAAGTCCGATTTCAATATTATAAATAAAGTTCTCGCATTTGTAAAAGTAAATATTTATTTTTTAAAAATCGTCCCTGAAGGGCAAAAACTATTAGTGGCGCAGTCTTAGAGGATTTTCGTAGAATTACATTGCGGATATTCGTGAGTTTTAACTCTTTAACGAAAAAAAAAACCGGTTTACGTTTTTCAAAAACTTTTCGAACTGTCAGTGATTTTGGGCTCCATCCGGACATCCCAGAATTTCCAGGGACATCAAGCAGAAGTACATAAATGTTGCAAGCTAATAAATTTTTATTCCATATTCAGACTCCTCTTTGCCTATTAAATCCTTTTGTGAAAATAATAGTCAAGAGTACGTATTAGTTACTTATTATTTTTTACTGATAAGAGTATAATTAAGAAAGAAAAGTAATAAATAAAAATTACTTCACCAAGTACTTTAATGCTACTATTATTGTACATAAGTTTGATATAGCAAATTTTAGCCATTATTCCTCGTTTTAATGGCAATATTAATAAACTTTATAGATTTATCAATGCTACCGAATCAATCTTACAGCATTATTTTGATACAACTAATCCTAAT